TTTCCCTTTGGTGCTTTTTGCCTTTAATATATAAATACATTTGGACAATGTATCAATACATTTTCCTTTATTTTGACTAAATTTATCAATACATTTAGCAATGTATTGATAGATTTTGAGCAAAATGGCTCATTGCCTAACATGTATGGATACATGGGGCAATTCTATCGATACTTTTTCCCTTTGGTGCTTTTTGCCTTTAATATATAAATACATTTGGACAATGTATCTATACATGTTCATCTGTGGCCAAATCTATTGATACATTCTTGAATCTATCGATACAATTCCTTTTATAGGCCTTGTGTTGTTCATCTTGCGATAAATGTATCAATACATTATGGGATGTATTGATACATTTTCCCTTGTAGGCAGTTTTCAGCTTTCCAAACCTCTAAAAATTCAAGTTTAATAGTCCAATTTCATTTCTTGTTAAGATCACACTTCAAATTAATTGTTTAACTTAATCCCATACACAAATATTCACAAATATAATGTCAAACTTAGATCAAAACCTCAAACTATAGGATTTATCACTTATTTTCTCAAAATTTTGCCTAAGTGTTAATATGTGTACTCTCAAACACTTGGCATACTTAGCATATCATCAAAGTCCTCAAGACTACATATATTCACAAATCATCCTTAGTTTATTTAATTTACATCGAAAATTAAGGGTGTTATAGTAAAAGCTAAACACAAAATTCAAATCAGAATTTCAAGCATGTGATTATTAAAAAAATTCATACAAAATATACAAACATACATACAATATATAACCTCAAATTATATTAAAAAAAGTTCTAATAGTCTTATTTACTATTTTATATTATAAAAATTCTTTTTGCATGTGGCTCATGATAGTCCACCCATTCCATTTTCGATGCCCAAATCAAAATATAATAGCTCCAAAACCTATTTAGAATGGTCTTTATTCTTGACACCATTGAGCACTATCCATGCAACGGGGAACATTTGATTGTTCCTATCTCGGCCAACAACAACCAAAAGCTGTCATTTCATTAAACCTTTTAAGAAACAACCATCCAATCCTAATATACATATGCAAGCTTTTTAAAAAATTATTCTTTAGTGCTCTTAAGTAGATATATATTCGATGGGACATTGCTGCCTCATTTGGTGTAGGCCTATTCACCTCTATTTTAATGGTTAATCCTTTATTTGTCTCTAAAAGCTCATCAGTAGACTATTTTAATCTTCTAAACTCCTCTACATATTTATCTTGCATTTCCTTCATATTATCAACTTGGCTCTTTTAGCCTTTGTTAGACTAATTACCACACCTAGCTATTTTTTCACAAACACTTCAATCTATCTTGCCCTTATGAATGACATCTTGATGATATCATCTTTCAAACTCCTAGCCTAAATCGTTATGTTAGCTTTAAAATTATTATAGTTTTGAAATGGCAAAAGTGATCAAAATTGCTTCAATGATCTTTGAACTTGTTTAAGTGATCCTTGAACTGGTTTGACTGACTTTTGAAGTTGTTTCAATATATTTTTTAACTTAATTTATTAAGGTTAAAAACTTTCATACACTTGCTTTTGAAGTGCATAAGTGTTTCCATGTGAAAAATGATCAAAATTACTTGAATGATCTTTGAACTTGTTTGAATGATTTTTGAAGTTGTTTGAATGAGTTTTTGAACTTGTTTGAATAGTTTTTAAGCTTATTTAATTAAGTTTTTAAGATCCTAAGTGTTCCCATGTGAAAAGTTCTAAAAATTGTTTGAATGAGTTTTGAAATTGCTTGAATAATTTTTGAACTTGTTTGAATAGTTTTTAAACTTGATTAATTGGTTTTAAACCTCCCTTGCATTTGATTTTGAAATATCTAAGTATTTGGCATCAAATTAGGTTCAAAAAGATGAATTTTCTATATTTTAAGCTACAAGTATCAATAATTTGGTTAAAAGTATCGATACATATTAAATAGAATGGTTATACCCAAAATGTATGGATACATTTCAAAATGTATTTGTATCGATACATTCCAAAATGTAGCGATACATTTGATCCAAAACTAGTTGTTACACATAAAAATCAAAGGACAAATGGCTAGTTTCTTCACCGAACCTTCTCTAACGACTCTAAAGCTTCTTCAACTATAAAAAGGACTTCTCCAACACTTTTACAAGGTAAGAAGAGAGGAGAAAACATCATTTGAATAAAAATAAAACCTTATGAAGGAAAAGAGAGAGAAACCAAGCTACAACAAGCAAATTTAATTCTTCCACTAAGCTTTTAAGCTTTCTTGTGCTATATTTCCTTTATGTCTATGTTTTTGTCTTTTGTAACCATTTTTATACTCATCATACTTTTCCTACATTGTACTTAGCAAAACCCACCTTCTAGAAGTATCCTTACTATTCAAAATTGTAAGGGAAAAAAAGGTTGTACCTTAGCTTTTAAAAGGCATTGTGAAGGTTGTGCTTGATTCATAAAAGGCGTTGTATTGAGAGGTAGTGATTGATCCTTGAAAGGCATTTTAAAGGTTACGTTTGAGCATTAAAAAGTATTTTTCATAGTGGATTTGAAATTACTTAGTGAGCTAAGGGAGATAATGTAGGCAAAGAGGCCAGCCAAACCTTTATAAAAATATTGTGTCTTGTCTCTTTATTTTTGACTCCTTGAATTTATGTATTTACATTAAATAATTTATCAAATTTGTTTTTAACTTGTTTATTCTTTAATTTACCCTTCAAATTATTATTGACACACTTTGATAGAAAAACAAATTTATGAAAATTATTTTTAGCTTGA